TCTGCCTTCTTCTTCCAAGTATTAGCAATAAGTCACTGATAGCTTTCTGATCTCACAGCTAAAGAATCAGCCGAATAATGTCTCCACAATGAGGCTATACAGTATGATATATCATAGTCATAAATATAATTTTATAGAAAAAGCATGTTTATTCAGACTGCAAAAAACTTTAATACAGAACGGTAATCTAACAATTCCAATATAAAAGCTTGATTATCCGCAATGACATTATAATCGGCCTATATTGTATGTATAAGGAAAAAATCTCTCAATTCCGTATGAACTATGACGATGCTGCGAACTAGTTAGCGCTATTTAGATCTGTGTACATAGAGGAACAGATAGGATAACACAGCAATGTTAATCTTCTCCCATTCTGACATCGTCTCATAGATCTGTCTGTAGGAAAGCAGTAACAAGATCTATACTATCTATCCGCTTCCTTTCGTCTGTATTTCAAGGTGGTGATATCAGAGTGATAGGTTTTGATCTGCATGATAAAACATAGAATACGAACAGTGATAGTATGAATATATCACATTTGTGCCTGAATAGCAGTCATAAGCATGATATCTGTCACTGCGATTTTTATTATCCTCAGATAAATACAGGGAATAATTTAATGGACCTCACATATACATATATTTTCTATGAGCACAGAAGCATTCCAGCAAACAGGTGGAATTAATAACCGACAACATATGTCCTCTAAGAGTGAATCGAAAAGTTCTGCAATACTCTCCTATACCCGCCTGTACTCGGAAGTCCCTTGTATGAATTCCTTGTAGACGCAAGAAATCAGGTGATAAATACAAATCATTCAACTTGTGTTGCCATATTTCAATAAAAACAGTCAAAGAATCCTGAAGCAGCAAACGGGTTGTTTACCCCTCCCATAATATCCATATTATTAAGAGGAATCCAGTAGTGACATAGAGGAACAGGAAGATACACATTTGAATATGGGACACAACTCCTCGGCAACAGATCTTACAACAGTATAGATTAACATTAATTTAGATGAATATGTGCTCTATAATTCGGCGCCTCATGGTCGCATGTATAACTCCCCCACTCTACAAATATATCCTAAGGGAAAGGGATGAGAATAAAACAGCCAAGGAAATAGCACTAGATCAATAAGACCGTTGTTCCTCTGTATATATCTCAATAAAGGAAAGCGACAGAGACTGAACTTTGAATTTTCCGTATCTTTATATTAACACGCTTAAGATATATTGAATATGGGCAGAATAATAAGGAGTTTACAAGTAGATCTTTTATTATACCCTGCCGGAAACATAAGAGGAGACGATAAAGAGAAAATAAGAAAGGGCGCCTTAAAAAAAGCCAAGAAGCAAACGATTACCACATGTACGAGGGGATGATAATTTAAATCCGAGGGGGAACAAAACAACGTAGGGAGGCAGAGTGGGCAATGATGCTTGTGAGGCGCTGCTTAAAGTCCAAACTGTAAATCCGGAGCGGACAGCATTAAATGGTTAACAGTAAAAAATAGACTTTAGCGCCTGATGACACAACCAAAAACAGGAAGGATAGGCCCTTAATCATAAAGCTTGCACAATAAATCATACAACACGAACAGTCAAAGTTGAAAAGCAATTAATAGAGCAAATATCGAAACCATAAGAAATAAAGAGGAAGCGATACAGGGTGGCGCCCCGAATTAATACCTGTAAAAACTAAACATGATGCCTAACGCAAGAAAATTCGGGGAGATACCCTGAAGAATAATAGGAGCAAATACACCAGAACACCTTGCGGCATGAACCATAGCAAATACACCTGAGCAGTGCAGCATACAGAAACGGCATAAACCGTAAACATACAGCATGCGAGAACAACGCTACACTTCATCAAACACCAATAAACCCTAAGGGCATCCGTTTAGTCGTACACAGTGAAACTGAATCCGCAACCATGGGATCTGAACCGTAAACCGTCCCAATACAGCGGGGAATTCTAAGCCTAATGAGTTAAAAAATAACAGCAGAAAGCAGAAATAAGGGGGCATATGTAAAGAATTAGCCGCGGGAATAGAGATTAGAAGGTACCAATAAACTGTAACCCTTAGGCCTCACCCATAAAACATGGAGGGTCAGCCATGAAATATCAAGCTTAAACCCGAAGACCTAAAGCCCAAACCCTAGAACCTAAATCCTAAAAACCTAAGGATGATCACAGTACCGAAGGCGCGTAATCAATAAATCTTACCCGCCTAAGATAACTTATCGAACAATACTAATAAACACTAAAAAGTAAAAACAGCCCCCCGGCAATACACGAGCACCTGGAGGCGTAAGCATAGAGGATAGGGCCTAACCACTGCAATAAAGTGTGGGACCAGGGGGATAATGAGTAAAGCATTAATCCTAAACATTGAGGAATACAGAGTGAACAATAAGTCCTGACAACACCCCAGAGCAATATAAGCCAAAAGCGCGTTGCCATGGATAAAACCCAGATGAAACAGGCGCTTACACCCTGCAACGTAATTGCGTACACTAGAGGCATAGGCCCCAAAGAATACAGGTAAAACATATAGGAAGAAATGTACTCATTAGCACACCTCCATAAGGTAGGAGCCCTCAGAATTACACAAACCTAAGCACAAAAGGAGGCTGACAGATGGGGAGCAGGCCTAAGCAGTAATGGGAGCAACATAGAGCCTCGAGCAGGAAGCCAGCAGCGCAGCTTAAGCGGTACGGCATAGAAACCAACTAATAAGGGGGGAAGGGACTGACAACATACTTCTGCAATATACACTTCCAATCTCTACGCCTAAGCATTGCATGTGCAACACAGTGCATGAAGAATAGGCCTTACATCATCAGCAACAAGCCATAAGCCATACCTAAAGCCCCATACCCATCGGAGCCTAAGAATTAGCACAAGAAAGGGGAGCCTGAAAGAGCAAGCCCTGTATCAAACATCGAAGACTTAATCATTCGGAGCTAAAAAATAAAGACTAAAAGATCCTACCTAAGAAAGTAAGACTACCTGCAGCAGCACTAACCAGGAAATGAACAAACCGAACAATGAACAGTCATCTCCTAAACGATAAACTCTGAACTTAAAGAAATAGGCTTGAAAACTAAACATCAAGGCTAAATATACACCTTACGCGTCAAAGCTGAAGGAAACCCCCTAAGACATTAAGTCTTAGTGGAAACAGCGAGCCTCGAAATTATAACCCTTACACCGAAGAACATGAATATGCAAATTCAACAAATTATAACTTGAAAATAACAAGTAAAACAGAAGAGAACAACCCATCAGAGCAGCCAGTAGAGCCAACAGACAAATCGGAGCGTAATAGAAAATAAGGGAAGAGACTGAAGCATAAAATTAGGATTAGTCCCTAAGAACAAGGAATCAACTGAGAAGCTATGAGAATAAGGCATAGATACTACAAATAAGGACGCCCGATAACCTTGAGTCCCCAACATTCAACAGTATAGGGGCCCCATTAGAACCAAAACAGCACGAACTGCAACCATAAAAATTCATGATTGGGGAGCAAGTCTAAGTCACGAAGGGCAAATGCCCAGGACAAGGGCATAAAGTGTGAAATCCCAGACTACACCCTAAGGCCTAACAGCTAAACCCAACAAATCGGACCCGGCAAAGATCCTGAATCCTCGACGTCCAACAGGAAGATCTGCAGGCAGAATATCGTCAGTACCGGACAAGTTAGGAAAGAAAAAATGATAAGATCCAAAGAGTAAAACCCGAAAGGTGAACCCTGGGGGCTTAAAATAGGCACCATGTAATGAAGCCAAAATCCAGGAGGATGACATAGATATAACCCTCTGATATAAGCAATAATCAGTGAAGGTTCGCAGTAAACTCAAGTGATAATACTGGAACGTAACAGCAAAACACTATACAAGTAGATCCTAAACAGGAAAAAGTGACAACTATACCCTCAGCTTCGAGGGATAACAACTAAATATTAAAAAAAAGCCCAGCACCCTGATAACTGAAGCGAATACCCTAAACACAGAACCACTAAGAATAGGAATATACAAATTCAAACCTGAGGGGCTGAACAATTAACCCTTAGCCTATACCTTCAAAGATGAAAACTCAAACTTAAAAATCGACAAACAACACACCCAACCGCATCAGTCACTAGAAAGTAAACCAACGAAGATATAGGATAGATCCCAACATCGAGACAACAACTACTAAAAATATGAAATAACTCAAAAAATCTGAGGTGGAGTCCTAGTCCGTAAACCCTGAAAACTCAAGATGAAACCGTGGATAGCTTAGAAGTCAACTGTAGAGGATTCTAAGAACAAAAAAAGGAAAGGAAACAATGCAATCCAACTAACAAAGGACGGCACCTGAGTACCAGAGCCTGAAGATTAAGACCTCAACAACGTACCTAGGATCTCAATCACACAGCTCAAAAGATAAGGAGACCGTACTCGTAGAGGTAAGAGTAAGAATCAGTTGTCTCCCCCAGGGACGACCCCAATTCCAAAACTCAAGAAGGAGGGAGCGTAGACTTAAAGGATAACAGGTAACGAAGCCAAGAACCTCGAAGCGGTAGGCAGTAGACGAAACCCCAAATCCTCCGAAGCTACAGAATCGAGTCCAGAAGATGACATCCTACACCATAAACCCAGAAATGTCTTTCATGCGTAGTAGAAGGACCCCTAAGCCAACAAATATGGAGCGCAGGGTTAAGCATAAGTCCCTAATAATACAAGAGTAGAACGTACCCCCCTAAAACGTAAAACGTGGAAACTAAATCCCAAACAGCAAAAGCCAGGAGCCTGAGAAATAATCTCAGAGACCTGACCCAAGGAAACCTTAACCCTAAGACCTCAAGTCCGAGGAAAAGCTTCTGCATGCATAACTGAAGAAACCTTCCTCCTAAACCCTAACCGTTAAGTCATAAATCGTAGGCTCTAGTCGGTAAGGAGCTAAAATCTGAAGCCAAAGAAATTCACAATGAAGCTCACAGCATGAGAGCTCAACATCGAGGAGTAGGAGGACCAGCACCACAAAACCCTGAGAGTCAAACCGATGAGCCAGAAATTAAATCGGACATGAAAGAAGAAGACCATATAGCAAAAAACATGAGGCGAGAGCCCAAGATATGGGAGAGGCACAATGAGGACTCTACACTCAAAACTGAACCTTAAGTATTAAGCAATAAATCCTAAGCCCTAATGAATAAGGGAGGAAGCCGAAGTCAAAAGCAAAAAGTAGACTCTAACAATAAGAAGGCACTCCTGGGTCCTAA